GTTTAGATGTTAAGCAGGCTTGTCTGACACCACTCTTTACTTGTTATGCACATGTCAGTTGCCCTTCATGCATGACGTCACACTGGAATCTGTGGTAAAAATCTTGTATGATGTTGACGGCTTTCTCGAGTACTTCATGATGTCGGACATTGTTCTATGAGTTTCTCCTTTCCATACTGTCAAATGCTTTCTCACGTTCGAGGAAGTTGATATATAGGGACGAATTCCATCCAATTCATTGCTCGGCGATGATCCGTAGTATCGCTTTTTGTCTGTGCACGTCTGGTCTTTACAGAGTCCAAACAGTTGATCTCGAAGTTGGTTGTCTGCTGAGTCATTCATCCCGTTCAGTAACCCTGTTGGTTCCTCTATAGTTCACACATTTACACAGATCATCTTTCTTCCGTATCTCGATGAGATATTCTTCTTTCTATTCTGTCTGTGCACTTGTACTCCATCCGGAATCTTCCTGAATAGAGTATGGAACATGTTAGCATTTGCTTCTATGAGTGACTTCAGTGATTTATTTGGTCTATTGTCAGATCTTACTGCTTCCTCACTGCTCATGTGCCTGATGACCATCTTAGTTTGTTCGGTCGTTGGTGGAGTGACATCTATGGGAATGTCTGTGTGTGTGCGTTTGTGGGTGAATATTGTGCCGCCTATAACCAATTTGTTGAATGCACATATGTTCTCAAATCTCTCCCCATTTTCGTTTCCTTCTCCTAGTCCATGTCGTCCCATGATATCTTCATATCCGCTGTTGTCCATTCCGAATTTAGTGTTTATGTCTCCTATTGAGATGGTGAGATCATTTGCTGGGCTCTTTACTGTGATCGATTGCAGCCTCTCATTGTCGTCATTGCTATCATTGTTGGTTGCAACACATTGGATAACATTCATTATGATATCCTTCTTCTTTGTTTTGAAGGATGCTTGATGATGAGATGTCGATAAGTGCATCTTCGTGTTACTTTAGACAGCACCATAGCAGCTTTCTGTTCTTCGTAACCAGAGTACAGCTTCATCTCTTCTCAATCTATCCTTTTCTATACAGCTTGAGTTCAACGTGTTTCACTAATTCGGACTTTTATCAAGTTGTATCTGTTCAACTTTGTAGCTATTCGGTTGGCTTTCCCGTTCTCCCACATTGTCCGGACATTCTAATAAACCTATAACAGTTGTTGCTCTGGTTGCTAGAAGCAACATTGAGTTGGTGACTTTCGAAAAATCTTGAATTTCACCATGAGACGTCATAATTGTCTGAATGAAGATCGTTCAACTCCGAGGACAGAGTTTAAAGGGTTTAATTTGTTTATTCTGGTTAGCGTTTTTAGCAATGTTGTTTTCAACGGGATGTGTTTGCTGACCCCATGCTCCACCCATTTCCTTTACCTGTGCTTGAAACTGCTAGTAACCCTAGGAGAGCTACAAGCAGATTGTGTGTAAAATTGTTTGATGTGACTCAATACGTGGTCAACAGTGTTTAGTGATTCTGCATGGTATTCCCTCTTTATAACTCTTCTTTTGAAAATCAACCCTCAGTTTCTTAAGTTTGCACACAGTAATGTGGTGAAGCGTTGGATTATAACTAATGTCGTTTTGTAATGGAAATTCCAACTCGAATCTCTCGCTTTGCTCAAACTGTCTAGTCCTAGCGATTTTACATTATTACCGATGTAATTTGTGGACGGAATGTCTAATTCAGTGTACTATCCCGACTTCTAATGTGCAAACTTGATATTTCTCCTTTACTAAAAAGCATAATTTGACATGTTGGAGCTAATTATTCAACTAAACTCTTTATTTCCACTGTCTTTTTATTGCTTATTAGTTTGTGACTACACAGCGTTTCCCAGTTGACTGATAATCCCCCTAATGTCATCAGTATATTATACTTTTAAAAACACGAATTTCAACGAAGAGATCTTTTATCAACGAATTTATGATCAACCTGTACAATCGTATATATATGAAAGTAATAGTTTCATGAAGACATATGAACAAGGGATAACGATGATGTGAGAGAAAGATTATTATACTAGGTTACGTAATACGATTAATATCAGTAGACTTAATGAGTTAGTAACGAATTATAACGCGAATGTAGGACGATGAGTAAAATGGACGGTGGCTCAATTTTGTGGATTGGTTGAAGTTAGACATTAACACCATTGGATACCGGCTCAGTGGTTTAGAGGTTAAGGGTTCGCGCGAGAGACTGATAGGTCTTGGGTTCAAATCTCGGGAGGCGTGACCGTAGCTGCGCACTGTTGAAGAGTCCCTTAATAGGATGAAACAACCATCCATTGCTACCAGGTTTTCAATGCTGATCTAATATCAATCAGTTCATGATCTCAATCTAAAATGTCTGTGTTACACTATTTAAAGGTCATAATGATGTAAATCATGAGAATATGAGACATTAAGTAAAACAACAAATACAATAATCATAATTATAATAATAAAGGTCAAAGTAATAATAACGATAAGACGTAGTTATGTCTTATATTTTCATTATTTATAATTGCTCATGATATCATCATTATGACCTTTCATATCCACTAGTTAATGGAACAAAACCATTTTAATCATCTTCATACATTCACATGTGATAATTTGTTACTAACTCATTAAGTCTATTAGTTAGTGTTATAATTCGTATTACATAATCTAATAGTATTATAATCATTCTATTACATCATCTTGATTATTCCTTGTGTGACATTTCCTTACGGAATCAACACTTTCATTGTACAGGTTGATATTGAATTCATTGATAAGAGATTCCTTCGATGAACTTCATCTTTAGTGGTTCAGTGAATAATAAGTGAGCTCGAGATGATGGAGATAATTTGTAGCTCAGGTGGATGATGTTGGTTGAATGGTTTGGTCGCGGACCAAACGATGCAGCTCAGAGAACAAAACTCCACCGAAATAGCTGAGTTCGTAAATGTTAAATATACATATAAAGATTTACACTCATGACTTTTCATATGGATATGGGGATAATGATTTTGCCTTACAGCTTCATATCTTTAACACTTCAGTAAACTTACTGGTTAAGATATTGTAGCCGGTGATGATTTTACAGTTAAAATACTTTATGGATATGACAATGATCTAGAAACGAACTCTCTGTTGTGAATATTATTAACACTCAGATAATAAATGAAGTTTTGTGTAGAGATAAGTAAACCGATAATCAGTCTTAGAAAATTAATAAACTTTCTCAAAACCACTAAACTTCATCAGATTTCAGGAATTGTGTTGATCAGTCAATAAATGACTTTGAAACTATCCGGTGATGTTTTTGAAATTATTTGGCTCATTCATATGCTACAGTTTAGACTGCTTATCCACCACCTCCGAGTAACTATCCAATTACCACCTTCTATAATTAATGTATTTCAGCACAAATCACTCGAATGACCTTCTCTCCATGAAGCCAATCAGAATGATGCATATTGTCAGCTGACTAACTGTTTGAAAGTGAGCTTTTAGCAGTGTAACATGCTGATTGGTGGTTATTTAGTGAATTCGATTGAACACAGTTGGTGTTGTTAATTGGCACTAGGAAAGGGATTTAATTTGGTTGAGTTGCCCTGGTGATTTGTAATTCTGTAAGTCTGAGGAATATTTCGTTGTTCAGCACACTAGACATTTAATTCCTTGATTATTTTATATGAGCGTATGTGTGTTAATTGCTTACTCTATTGATTATGTGTCTGTAGTTTATTTTTGTCTGACTATGAGTATTGTAAAATACTTAATCAAATCGAGTTGTGTCACTCACCCAGTCCTCTCCACTTCACTTTCCCACTTCTTATTCTAAATGTCTGTCTGGACTAACAAGTACTTGAAATAAACTCCTCTAATGTAACCCACCGCCATCACATGAACAGGGTTAGCCTAGGTAACCCTCATAGTTAAATGTCAGATTTATGTTCATCACCGGGGCACATTAGATATACATTAAGTTTCTATTTTACTAGTGATATGTCCTACTTCTTATGTGATGTCTTGTAGAGATATTAGTTGCTCTCTCAAATGAAACCTTGTCACATTAATAAAAGTAGTAAAAGATTTTCTGTTGGAACTCATTACATTCAGTTTATTAACTTTAGAAATATGGCAATAATCATAAATAGTGTTGAGTGAATCAGTGTGCAGTTACTGAGTAATCTTTTTGAAGCTAAACTATGATTAATGAACAAACCGATCACATTTAGGATAATTGGTCTTGAATTTTAGAGTGAAACTCATTCATCTATTTGGACAATGAACGTTAGGGTTAGGTTAGGTGATGTTAGTTCGTGATGATCCCATCCCACATAAATCTAATTCTTAACCCTAACCATCAACTAGAAATCATGATCCTTATTCCTCACACATGTTCATAACTCTCATTTAAGCCCAGTAAGTAGGTAAACATTCTGAAGTCGTTGATCATCCTTTTTAACATGGGAACTATACTTTTAGGACAAAAAAAGTAGATATTCACAGTGTATAAACAATCCCAATCTCTCTCGTTTGGGGCGATATTGGGGAATTTCCTCAGGTCTGAGAAAATTTAAGGGTTTTGGAGCCATTTCTCCAAAGTTTACTATAGCGGCTTCCCCCAGAATTGGGAGTTCGGGATACGTTGCTTCGGTGGAATTATATGCATCATTCTCAATCATTTCAAATATTGACGTGTTATTCTTTAAATTACTGAATTCATACATCCATCAGTTTGTCCAATGGGTCTGATGTAATTTGTAGAAGATTTTTATTAACACATTGTTGATATATAGAGGGCTACAATATCAAGGCATCCATAGGAGAGACTCATTCAATCCAATTCTGAATAGAAGCAATACAGATCATTCTAAAACGCTTAGCAGCGGTGATCGATAACAGATCCATTCTGTTTTACAGTTCTTCTCTCTATTCAAATCAATTTAGTGTTGTGATATGTATCATTTTGTTTATCTTTTCTTCTTTTCGAGGTGTTTACAATGATATCAACCAAAGAAATCAATAAACATGATGCTCAACGAGAGTGTAACCAACAATTTGAGATTAATGCTAATAATAATTCAATGGTAAGATTTTGTTTACAGTGTCATATTATCATATTTCTGATTATGTTTTTTATGTGACATTGACTTAATTAACTGAAGACAATGTTCTGGAAAGAGGATAGTTCTTTTGAAGCTTCCATATTATGAAAATCTTCCTATAAACTTCATCTGCATATCCTATTCATCTCTACATTACCACAACGTATATGTTTTTTCCGATTTAACTCACCATTCTATCTCCGCACATGTATGCAGCGAATTCCATACTCACCACACATGGATTATAACTTAATGAAGTACCAGCGCATTTTGGGGTCGTCTAATTCTGCTGGCGTTGGTGTCACACTACGAGCCAAAGTTGAGGCAGCACTAATCGACTAGATCCACATTAACAGCCGATTATGTGCTGTTAGATAAGAAAACTCCATCGAAATGAGAAGAAATCGGTGTGAGAAACAATGTCTTACGGCTTATGCCAATCTGGGCCATCTTTGATGCCTTCGTGATGTTAGTCTAAATGTGAAAGTTAAGATTCATGATGCGTCGGAGACATGTAGTGTTTGCTCCATGTATGTGAAACCTCTCCTCTCTGAGCTGAAGATGTTAAACGACTCTATGTTTAATCATTGTTGTTTCCGACGGACTTCTTACATTCAGTGGCAGTACCATGACTGTAATGCAAAAGTCCGGCAACACGTGTTCGGGTGCAGCGACAAAAATTCGATTGGAACACCAAATATGGTGACTTGGGCGTATCCTTTGAATGTCGTCCCAGTCATTTTGAAATCGTGCGTTATTTTGAGACGCGGGACTAATTGAAGAAAGTAGAGAGGTGCTTAGTGCATGAGATCGTGACGCAGTATGAACAGAACTGGAATTTGCTGGCTCTTCATGATTCCATGATTGACGTCCTAATGATAGTGCAACGCAGTAGTTTGGGAGGTTATCAGACGTGGCTCAAAATACAAGCCAGTGGCAATCCTGCTGGTGTTGGTTCCTTCTTGCACCAATGTTTATGCGTTTATATTAGTAAACCAATATTCGTAGCAAACCTAAATTAGAATGTCAGAGTGGATCATGATAAACAGTGTTGGTAGACATGAGATCTAAAATTCACAAATTGACCAATTTAAGTTTATTTAGTGTTATAATCGGATATCTTGTGTTGTATTCATAAGTGCACCATCTAAACACAAAGACTCATTACATCCAGTTAGGGGTCAGACTATGTTATTTCGTCGAGATAATTAATTCTAAACATGCAGCTTGTTCAATTTAATTTTTTTGAATAATTTTTTCTGGTTAGCGTTTTCTGTAGCGAGTTGGTTTTCTACGGGATAGGGTCGCTAACCCCATGCCCAACCCTCCTCCTTTATCCGGTCTCGGGACCGGCAGTAGCCCACAGAGGGACTCCAGGCGGAGTTACTTGTTCAATTTACTAGATGTTTATTAAATTTCATGAAGAACAGATTTGTTGATTTAAAACAATCAGTCCATTTGATAAATTTTGATAATGGAATGAGAAGACCAAGTTTATCAGAACTATGTGATGATATATTAGCTCAATACATTTCGAACAATCGGATCATACATGTTATTACTAGTTAAGACATTTTTCTATGAAACATAAAAGGTCAACTAGACAGGGTAAACGTACAAATAAATTGCAATGATCAATTTAGATTACAGGATAGACAGACATCATCGTTCATTGTGAAAAACTGGATTGACACTGATCATAAAGTTGACATGAAATCAGCATTTGTAGTGTTATACAAAAGCTTTCAAGGACCAATATTAAGGTTTATTGAAGCCTTGGTTATACGGAAATTGAAACCACCTTTATGTTGTTCAAGAACAATTTGTGCTTACCATTAACCTACCCTGGTAATACTGATTTATTATCCAGAGTGATGTACTTTATTATCTTATTTTACTTTGTTACGGTCTACCTTTAGTCTGTCTAGTTGACCTTTTATTTTTTATGTATAAATGCTCTTAACCGGTATATTACGTGTGATCAGATTGTTCGAAGTGTATTGTGCAGATATATCACACATAATTGTGATAAACTTCGTCTTCTTATTGGATTATCGAGATTTGTAACTGCTATATAAGTATATAAATATTTGTACAGACAGAAGTCATTTTAGAAATATACTTGTACTGAATGGTTTAGTCGTGGAGCTTACATCCTTCTTCTGAACGACATCATCAGCACAAACTTCACATGAACAATAAAAGCTCCACGATCAAATCATCCAGCTCAGAAAATAAAATTCCATGAAAATCATCTACCTGCGCTACAAATCTTCTCTACCATCTCAAAATCATTTGAGTGTAGTACGCTTCTCGTTGTTCGAAAATAGGAGAATTTCGTTAAAAGGCAGTCTTCCACTCGAAAACAAATGTATTTTCTCCACGAGTGTCTTTGCCAGCATGTTCTGCCATTAAGTGTGAGATACAGACCTCTAATCAACTGCCCAATGGGATGGAGAATAGCTGAGCAAAGTGGAAGAAAAATGGTACAGCTAATGATAACTGATGCACATTACAGGATCCACTAATACCAACATATCATAGAGGACCAAAAGAGCAAGCTACAAAGGATAATCACGTCAGAACATTTGGAAATATTGACAACAGCCATCAAGGTACCATGGAAACGACACAAAGAACAAAGAAGAAACTTATCAAGATCTCAGAACCACCCACTAGAGTTATCACTAAAAAATGCGGGAATAAGTGAAGAAACACAACAGAAAACAAGATAAACTATGGTACCAAACTTCTACCTGAAGTTTGTGTTGATGATGTCGTTCAGAAGAACAATGAAAGTTTCATGACCAAATCATTCAGTTCAAAGAATAAAACTGCATCAAAATCATCTATCTGAGCTACAAATCTTCTCCACTCTCTCAATATACTTGTCCATTTGATTGAATAAGTACTTTTTCATTCTCATTTCAGTTTCACTCAATTTCACATGTACACTCTATACTCATTATTTATGATCTCTATTGAATTTCAGTTGAATGGTTTCATGCATAGTAAACAATACAATATGATGAAACATAAACCAAATGAAAATGCATTACATCAAATTGAAACTATTCCATCATTGATAGATGATATCACTAATAGATTAGAACAATTCGAACTCATTCCATCTTAATTTTGTCTTGATTATGAAGATGAAATTTATTATAGTGAAATTGATTACAAACTAGATAGTTGATGACGACGATGATGATGGTGATGATGATGATGACGACGACGACGATGATGATGATGGTGATGATGTAATAGGTGAATAAAAACCAAAAAACAACTATTATTGATTTTTTTTCCTGTAAATTGTTTAATAAAATTATCCTCATTATTTGTTCTTGGTGTTGTTTTACTTGTATCTTCCCATTGATGTTTAGAACTGCAATTGATCAGTTTCATGTTGGCATATGTGCATCCTGTACGGACGACCTCAATATTACCTTAAGGCACAAGTATTATAACACAAAGATGGATTGCGGCTAGTAGTGGAATCCAGGACGCACGAAACTTCGTCCTGTTTGTGACTCGTCAGCCGGATGTACATCTCGTTATCCACTTAGCTACTGGAGTTTGAACCGAGCGCTACTGGGTTCGAGTCCTAGAGTGAACATTCAGCCGACGAGTCCCAAATAGGACGAAACGTGTGTCCTGGATTCCACTGCTTGCTACTATCCATCTTTGCTTAAAAAGCTTGTGATTATTGGTTCTTGTTTTTATGATATTTATAGGAATTTATTTAAAATTTTTAGTACGAAGTAAATAAATATGGATAATGTGATAGAGTATTTATTGTACCTTCTGTTAAACTTTTGCGTATAAATAACACTTTAATGGAGAAAGTTTAATCAGCGATATGATCTAATGTTGGCTGCTGTTCAATGATTCACTAGTGAATATAAGTAACGTTGTAAGAATATAGTTTCAGTCCTGTTATAACTGAGGGTGCACACTAATTGAAACTCGTCTGCAGTATATCTTCAAATTACTATTTTCTTTGTTTCACATAGCACTTCAGTTTTAATAATTATTCAAAATAACCATGAACATAAATGGCCGCGTTCACTGAAATCTCATCACTATGTAGGGCCAGTGAAATGTTAGCGAGCCAAATCATCTAGCAGTTGGGTGACTGAATGTCGAACAGATCATCGATCTGTGTCAAAGTTAACGACAACCAACGCGAATCAGTAAATTGTATGCAATGGACAGGACCATGAGGTGGTGGTCTCATTATCTTCTCTGTACTCATTCTTACTGATATATTTCGGATCTGAAGTACTCTGTATGAAACTGTATTGTGTTATGAAACAAACAAATAGTCTTAGTCCAGTCTCTGACCAAGAATTCTAACGTTTTGAATCTACTGTTCTCAATAACTGCAATCAGTATATTAGCACAAAAGTAGTAGGGAAAAGTTTTCTCACGGAACAACATAGAAATCAATTAAAACTACTTAGAAACAATAAAGACTTAATTATAACACGTTCAGATAAAGGTGCTGGTTTACTGCTGCTAGATCGCAAGATTTATGTTGAAAAAATGACAATGTTATTATCAGAGGACACCAAATTCTCAAAACCAATCAATGAGAAAAGCAAGACAGAAATTATAGAAAAGTAACTGATTGAAGTTCTTAAGAGAATGAAAAATGATCAGTCAATCGACGAGCATGTCTTTGAGTTTATAAAACCAACAGGATCAATAATACCGCGATGATATGATCTGCTGAAAGTACACAAACCTGACCTATCTCTCAGACCAATTCTTGATATGTCCAGATCCCTTTATCTTTTTATAGAAAAGTGGCTGGCAAATTTCCTAGAACCCGTTAGAAAACTCATTTGTCGATATTCGTTACATGATTATCTTGAATTTATCGAGCACATAAAAGAAGTGAATGTAAGTGACAAAATCATGCTATCTCTGAATGTCGAATCGTTACTCACTAATGTCCCACTCATAGAGACTATTAGTTTTATATGTAAGCACATAAATAACAGAAGGATGGCATAGCAATGGGATTCTCTCTTGGTCCATTGCTTCATGGTCAGTTTAGAAAACAATCAACTTGAAACGATTATAGGAAACTTCCACTTGTATAAAAGGTACGTAGATGACATCTTTATCATTTGTGACAACAAATATGACTTGTGTCATCTTCTAAAGACATTTAATAATTGTCACCCAGCAAAGAAATCCATACTTGAATTTGAAAACAAACAAAATATTCACTTTCTTGATATGAAAGTGACAAGAAAACAAGATGGAACTCTAAGAGAATCTATCTACAGGAAACCCATGTGGAATGGTCAACTATCAAGCTTCCACAACTGGGTCCCCATTAGTCGTAAAAGAAACTTAATAATATCACTAGCTACAAAAATATGAAACATTTGTAGTCCCGAGGTGATAGATGAAGAACTGGACCTCTTGAAGGAGATACTTATCAGAAACGGATATCTTTCCGTATTCATTTATAAAACATAAAACCAAAACCGCCTAAAACACAAATAATTTCAGCAGAAAAGAAAACATTATACATGAACATCGACATTTATGGGTGACAGGGCCACATACATCTTAAACAGGCGAATTTCTTATTCGTTAAAATGAACATTCTTCGCAGCAGCGTTGCGAACAGTATTCTCCAGCCGATCATTGTTCACTAATAATCTTAAAGATAAATTATCGCATCTGACCAACTCAATGTGCATTTATCAATTTACCTGCCCATGTGGAGTCAAGTATATGAATCGTTCGATGCGTAATTTATCCAAAAGAATTCAAGAACATTATCCAGCGTGGCTAAGAAGAGGAAGAAACTGTTCAATAAGAAGTCTAGTAATCGAACACCTTGTGAACACAGGTCACTCAATCAAGTTAGACTCTGCGTTCAAAGTCATCTACAAGGTAAGTAGAGTTCTTCCAAAGACAATTAGATTGCATCTTCATTGCATTGCCGAACCAATAACCATACATCTGGAAATACCAGAATTGTGTGTGCAAATGAAATTGGTACAACCACTTGTTCTACCATGGTCTCAATGTCTTAGAATTTTTCTTTATTAAACTTTCCTTTATACTCTTCCTCCTTTACAGCCATCTGCTTCACCTTCCATCTTCCCCTTGAATCTTCTACCCTCAACTGGTTTATTTCTGTTTCTACAATCTTCCTCATTACATTTTATCTTATCATGCTAAGCCATCCTTTCCCAAGGATAATTTCCCTATCTTTTTTAATACCTATGTTTATTTAACCTCATTGTCACCATGTATAACAGAAGTTTCTTATCATTATTATTATAACCCTGAGAAAAAACCATAAGTATATATATATTATGGCTAGCAGTGGAATCCAGTTTGGCGCGCGTTTCGTCCTATTCGTGACTCGTCAGCTGGGTGTACCTGCATCTCAGACTCGTTGATGTTCACTCAGGGACTCGTGCATCCTGGATTCCACAGCTGGCCACTATCCATCTTTGCGTATAATCCTTGTAAGTTAAGGCTATATATATATGCCAATGAGAGACTGATCAATTACATACCTAAACATTAATCGGAAGATTCAAACTATGCCAAGTGAATTTAGAAGTATATAAATTTGCGATTGTACACCTTTGAAAATAAATTCGTCGAAAAGAGAATTCTTCGCTGAACTAATCTTTGTTATTTAATAACAAATTTGAACATAACATACAACATTAATTTCAATGGTTGAGATCATGAGTCTGAAGATGCCACAGGTGTTTGGAGTTTGACAACGCTTTGACCAGTAACACTTCCTTATATGAATCGTAACCACCAAGTGAAATCAAAAGACAGAAGCCAGGAGGTTCGAAGATATATTCGATAGGCTATCAATAAATCGAGGATCGTCTGATCTAATCAGGCTAGCAATTGCAGGGGATGTTGAGCACGGCGTCCCCACTCGTGACCTTGTGCGGATGCATGACCGAGTGCTTTCAACTAGGTTAGTCTATTAAAACTAATGTGATCAGCATCCAATGTCGAAAACTTACAGAGCTATTTATTTTGGGGATTCATTTACCGCTACAAGTCAATTGAAGCTAGACCGCCATGGAAAACGTGGAAGCACTGGACGGCCGTTTCGTCCTGGTGTGGGTCGCCTCAGCGGTACTCATCCATGATCCATGGTGGTCTAGTTTTAATTGGCTCATGATCTCAACCATTGGAATTAACTATAATATCCAGAAAAACCTTTCTGATATAATATTTCATTGTGCAGTAAACGTATCAGTTATTCACTACACACGCTACACATTGATTGTCTGTCTATATATCTTTCATGTAATCTTGATTGATTTGCAATTCTGTTGAATCTCAGCTGTTCAGCATTCTGATTTTCAATTTCTTCATCTATCTGAAGTTCAGAATTTTCTATAGAATTAAGATTAGTTAGAGAATCATCAGAATTCAAATAGAAATCACTTACTTCATTAATCTTCATTTGGTCTATCTGTTTTCTGTGAACTAAATGGTTATACAAATCAAGAATCTTTACTATCCGAATATCCATTCACTGAATTATTATCTCCATAGATGGTTGATAGTTATTTCTTCGGTAAAACTGCACTTCTGATGATGTTTTGTTCATTAAATGAGTTTAAAGTATGAGAGATCTATAAAGATTAGCTGGACTTTTGGGAATTCTTGAATGTTCTGCATTAAGATAATGAAGCGAGAAACTGTCAATGTAGTTTTATATCTCGGATAGATTGCATGGACTTATTAATGTTCGAATGAAATTTTCTGCTAAACTACCAGACTAAGGACTTCATGAAGCTGTAAATAGATGACGCCATCTAATATCGTCAAGATAGTTGATAAAATCTTTTTCAGTGAAATGAATATCCCTTCATGATCAAATATGTTCCTCATTGCTCAATGAGTAAAGTTCCCGCTAGGACTGTTCATGAGCACCGCTTCTGACCATTTCGAATTTAGGTTAATAATAACTAAAGTATGGTACGAATTTAAAAATGAGTCACAGTAATTCTCATGAATACGTTGTCACTATTCATAAGATTCAGGTGAAGGATTCCAAGTAGACCTGCTGTATGATAATTTATACAAAACAAGCAGTACAGTTTTTCAATTTCCGAA